TTATCCTGCAATTCTCACAAACGCATTAGTCCCTCAACCAACTTTGTCGTCAATACTCCAAAACCAACTAGGGGTGGCACTAGATGCACTTACAATCTCCCCCTTTTTGGTGATTGATGACAAACTGGTTGAAGTTTTCAACGGGGATAAAGTATGTGAAATTGTAAGGATAGGGAATTGTCTTCATAAGTTGCAAGGGCTCCCCCTGAAGATGTGCAAGTAAGTAATTTGCTTTTGGATTGCAAATGCACTTGGCTGGTTGTACTTGTGGAGATCCACTTCAACTTATGAAGATAATTCATCATGCATGAAATGATATAACAAGTGGAATGACATGCATAATGGAAAATGGACGTCTGCAGAATAATCTAAGTGCGGAAGTTATCATCGCACATGCGGAATTTATCATCGCATCAGAGTAAAGCAAACACGTAGCATAAGTAGCAGACGACCATCAAGTTTAGGTGTTACAACTCAAAGAACCAAATGTATCAAAATGCAAGAGTTGTAAGCACGCAGCAAAATATAATGCAACCGCCCATATCAACCCGCTTGAAGACTATCAACTCATATGCTTCTCCCCCTTTTGTCAGTAATGACCAAAAAGGTTTGAAGACATAGAGCATCTACTCGCCCTGAGTAGGTGAAGAAGCTGGGTCGTTGTCATTGGTTGGCGGTGCAGATGAACTTGGTGCAGTGTTGATGCGCGCAGTAGTTGGAGGTGGTGAAGTAGCGTCATCTTCATCATCGATCACTCTGGCATTAACTGTTGCCGCGGAGGAGGAATATTCAGATTCTTCAAGAGATGGAGTTCGACGCAGGGTAGCAGTCCGTGGAGGAGTGGAGTCAAACTGAAATCTTTCATTGAAGCCATCATCTTGAAGATCCGCTTCAGCACTGAGCAGGGTCAAACTCTTCCATGACCTCCGGCAAGTTTCATGAGCAACAAAGGCATTCTTGGTGGCAAGGTTGCGAATGCGATTGACATCCACCAAGAGGCTTTGCATCTGTCTCTTGAGCCAAAAGTGATGTTTATCCTGTTTCTGATGAAGGGCCACAAGAAGTTCTCGGTCATTCAGAACACGAGAACGCTTCGGACGCCTTTGGGCAATGGTGCTTTCTGTGGCTTCAGTGGGTGCTCGATGAGGCAGACGAGTGTTACCAGCAAGTGGATAGATTCTGGTTGCTGCTTGAACACCTTCAATGGTTGAGTGAAGCTTTGGTGCTCGGCATTCTGAAGACAAAGAGGCTTCTTGGCAGGATCAGGGTATATAGCATCAACTGACATATCAACTTCTGGTAGAAATATTATATGATTGCGAGCAGAGGGCTGACAATTGACAGATGAGTGTCGCTTGATGAGGCGCATGACCCATGGAGCATAAAACTTCAGACCAAATAGGTCAGAGCCGGAAGCAGCAAGTTGTCTTATGAAGAATTCCTGAGTGTTGAAGCTGATGCCATTGAGAATATAGAAGACCAAAGTCTTCATAGCTCCTTCAAGCTTGGCCACTGATGAGTGTCCCTTGACTGGCCATAGAGTTCGCCTGATGATATGATATATGGTTCGAGGCAGAAACTCAAGGTCTTCAACAAAGAAATGTGTGGGATACTCAGCGTCAGATGGCAAAGGCTTCATCATGCTCAGCATCTGGCTCATATTGGTTTCTGACTTATGAAAGATGCTCTCCACAGCATTGCGGTGTAGCTGACAGTTAGGCTCATACAGTTCTCCTAGAGTGGCTAGCCCTGTAAGCTCAATGATATCCATAGCTTTGGCTTCATGATGAACATTTCCAGTCATCCACTCGAGAACCCAAGTCTTGATGTCTCTGTAGTAACCGCGAATGTGCAGAGTGGCATAGAATTGAAGCAATAGCTCTTCATTCCAATGTTCTTTGTCTGTCACAAAATGGAGCAGACCAGCATCTCGAAAGCAATCAAGTGCTTCTTCTAAGCACGGCAGTCGAGCAATGGCTTCAGTGTCAAGGCGCATATGAGGGAAAATGCGCCCTTGATCATATAACACGCATGAGTAATAGCTTCTCTGCTGATAGCTCCAGAACCTATCTGATGATATGCTTGGCTTGGAGTAGGGGTTCTTGGCGCTGTCAAAGAAGGTATTGTGGCTTTTGAAGCCATTAGCATTGAAGGACCCGGGGGAGTTGGCAGTACCTGGAAACCTTGGCAACCTGGGCTTTGGCTTCTGCACTTGGGGCCTATGCTCAACATGATAGTCAAATTGCGGTCCTGAGGCAGAGGGTGGAGGCACCAGAATGTGCCATCGGACAGTAGTGAGCTGACCATGACTGTATGCTTTCTCAATTGTGTGAGGCCTTGGAGGCGAAACAGAAGCAGGGGCAACATCGGAGGCAGGCTGCACGACAGGTGCTTCGGGAGCAGTTGTCATATCGGCTTCAGGTGCAGCATCCTCATTGGCTTTAGGTTCAGTAGCCACATTTGCTTCAGGCACAGTGGCCTCAATGGTTTCAGGCACAGTTAGTGCAGGCTCCACATCAGCATCAGCCATGACTACGTCACTGGCTGTATTGACGTTGGTGGTGGCAGCCTCAACATTTTCAACCTCCTCTTGACGAACAGGAGGGTCGAGCACATACACGTTCAGATCATGAACTACTTCTTCTTCAATCACTGGGGGGGTTGGTACACACACTTCTTCTTGATTTTCTTCGGCTGATGCAGCCGGAATGTCTTCAGCAGCATGTGCTTCAGACTCGGAGACATTCACAGTTGGAGCAGGTTCAGAAAGTACTTGCCGTGCAACAGGTGAACGTTGCACTTCTCCTTCTGGAACGCTCGACAGAGGGACTTCAGGCCTTTGTCCTCTGTGAAGCCTGCGAAGAGCTGGCTTCACTTTAGGAGATGGAGTTGGCTGAGCCTGAACGTCTTCATCCTCTTCTTGCACGTTGGGGGTAGCTTGTTGTTGTTGTAGGGGAGTACTGGGGGAGTCTTGGAGTTGTTGTGGGTGATCAGCCCACGATGGATCCTGAGCAATTGGTGTCAATGGACGACCAATGCTGATGAGTTTGCTGTTCGTATGAACAGGCAATGATACCAAGTCATTTTTGATCTGAGGAAGAACTTCATCATCAGCCACATTGTCATCTTGACCAATGTCTTCAGCAGCGTTGGGTTCAGCTGCTGGAATATCTTCAGCCACATGAGCCTCTGTGGTAGCAGGCTCATGGACTATAATCTGTCTTTCTTGATGTTCAGATGCAGGGCGAACCATTGAGATGGGTTCAACCATGAGGGGCTCTGTGGGAGCAGCCCGATTTTTCTTGGTCTTGCGCTTCTTCTTGGAGGGAGCAGCATCAGAGGCTTCAGTATTCTTCCTCTTTCTGGCTTCAGCCTCTGCAGCCCTTGTCTTCTTCTATTCTAAAGCGGTTGTTGTGACCTTTGGCTTCGAGCCAGTCATGCTGCTTGGAAAGATAATGCGAGGGGCTTCTTGGCTTGAGGGTGCGGGCTGGTCAACAGGAAACTTCTTCTTTTTCTTTGCAGCCATCCTGGGGTCAATGCCTTGAGCTTCTTGACGCTTGTTGAGAAAGGCTTCTTTGAGCTCATGCATCATGACCTTGAAGTTTTTGACGTCTTGAACACTTAGACTGGTCACATGCTTCTTGAATTGAGCCTTCTCAAAATCAATCTTGTTCTTGAGCTCAACGATTCACTGAGCGATAACCAGCTCAGAAGCAATGGCGCCATTGAAGGCGACACTGAGGACAATGGGAAGCTGTAAATCGTCAAAGCTGACACTGGGGGTATTGAACCATTCATCAATGAAGTTGTGAATAATTGCCACATCAAAGAGAGGCAAGTTGTTGAAGATTTCTGCTTCTTCTTTGCTTTTGATCAATTGCTCAAGGGCATCATCTGCAAGATCTTCATCACTTGATAGATCAATGGGATCTTCACGCAGAATTGCGGCAGTAGTCAAGGCTCTTTGATCAGATGGTCTAACAAGTTGCTTCTTCTTGTCCGTTCTCTTGGAGACACGGGACAGATCTTCAGATTGCACACTGGCTTCAGGAGGTGCAGTGGCCAGGGGCTTCGCACGAGAAGTCTTCGGAGGTGCAGCTGAGGTTGAAGCCTTTAACTTCTTTTGCTTCTGCGGCTTTGGGGGAGGAGCAGGAGCTTCATCAGAGTCAGCACCATTGTCAGAATGATCTACTCTGGCACCTTGGACCATGATGTAAGTGATGAGGCCGTCAAGGTTGGCGAAGGGGCCAATGACATTTGGTTCTGCATCACGAGAGCCGTCAGCACGAGGAGCAGAGGGACCAGGATTGAAGTCTAATCCCAATGTCTTCTTGTTTTCTTTGACCGAAGCCTTTGCATGCACTGTGGGCAGCAACCCGTCCTCATCTGTGTGGCTTACATGATCCAGGCCGGCGGCAGTCCCGGACTCCGGCGTGATGACTCCTGTACTTCTCGGCGGAGGCGGCACATCAGGCAGCGGGTGCATGACCCGTGGCTGCCATGTCTGTCGTTCAGGCCCGTTGCGGCCATGGGAGAGAGAGAGGGCGTTGAGGCGTTCTGGGACGGATGGGGCGGTGCGGCCATCGTTATCGCTCCGATCGCTGCAGTGAGCGCCGAACAAGAGAACCCACGGCCAGCCGACCACCAGTCCGATCGCGTGGAGAAGACGGCTTCGGTCGATCTGCCATGGAAACCCTCGATGCTGGGAAGGGACTGAGGGAGCGGCGCGGCCGTGAGCGTGGGAGGCGGCGGCGTCGCAGATCAGATGAGTTCCTCGTGGTCGTTCGATTGTGGAGGAGCCGAGCCGGTTGTGCTTTCTTTGGCTCACTCGTATACAACCAGATGGCTCGTTGGCTGAAGCGATCGATAGGAGCGAGCGCCGTGCGATGGAACGGGAAGACAGGTGGCAGCAGATTAACTTGGGTACGCACAGGATGAAGTTTGCAACCGGTCTCCACCAAATTTTTTTCCCGTAAGTACGTGTCGTTTTGGCGTTGCGGGCATACCCTGCCTCGAAGGTGCTCGCGGAGAAGGCGGCGATGGCGTTCGCGGAGGAGAAGGGCCTCAGCCTGGTCACCTTGTGCCCCGTCGTCGTCGGCGGCAGGGCCCCGGCGACAAAGGTGACGACCAGCGTCCCCGAGATCCTCTCCTTGCTATCCGGTACGTGAGGCCTCAGAGTAAAACGCACGCACAAAAATTATGGAGTGATGCATCTGTCGCGGTGGTGTGTGATGGATGATTAATTTCAGGCGACGATGACATGGTGGACAGACTGGAACTCATCGAGCAGGCGTCGGGGTCGATCCCGCTGGTCCACATCGACGACGTGTGCCGCGCGGAGATATTCGCCGCCGAGGAGGCCACGTCGGGGCGGTACATCGTCTGCACCCTCAACACCTCCGGCGTGGCGCTCGCCCACTTCCTGGCGGCCAAGTACCCGCAGTACGAAATCAACACAGATCAGTACGTACACGATCGACCTGTTACGTAGGAGTACAAAGCTACCAGTTGTGCGATGCACTACTGACGCGTGGGCTTCTGTCTGCCTGCAGTATTGGTGGTCTTCCAGAGAAGCCCAGGGTGTGCATTTGGTCAGACAAGCTCGTCGAGGAAGGGTTCGAGTACAAGTACAATAACCTGGACGAGATATACGACGACGCTGTCGTGTACGGAAGGGCCCTGGGAGTCCTTCCATATTGACATGATGGGCCTCTCCATTGTGTGATCTTGGAACAAAACGATGGATGTGCTTGCAAAATAAATCCTCTACGGCGTCCTGGCCTTAGGAAGGCTAGTTTTTTACTTTGTTCTTTTAGCTGTGTCGTTCTTCACTGTCTCGGTTATGACTGTGACATTGGTTTGTGTAGTAGAGTAGTTGTCTCAACATGGTGGACTTGCCTCCAACATGATCGAGATGTGGGGTTTGTGTCACCTCGATTTGGGGTTCCAGATTGTGTTATCTGGTCAACCAGGGATTTATCTTCAGCTCCTTTGTGTCACCTTCTTACAAGCATTCATTTAAAATTTCAGTTATTTTCCTCAGTCTTTTGTCGGACAATTTATAGCCTACAATTGTAACTCATTTGTAAAACCACTAAGATGAACGTCCACACACACATTGACAAGCCCACTATTTATCATAGAAGATGCTAATGTGTTGCATTAGGGGTTTCGTAGTCTTCAGTCTACCTTGGATTGGCCCATCGCCCAAACATTACTCATGCCCAACGTATGCCGCCTAAGACATCCACCCTAGTCGGCTTCCCTGATATTAGTTTCCCCGTTGAATGTATTCCTCGACCTCCCCCGCGTCTGATCCACCAAAACTGATAGGAGAGACCGAAGAGACCTTATTCCAACACGTCATTGCCGCGACCACCTTATAGATTCATTACTTGGCTGGCAAAGAAGAGGAACTTGTTTTCTATTTTTGTTTTCATTTCTTTTTTTTAGCAAAACACAAGAATTTTTTCACAAGATACATGGACACTTATTTTAACTTATGAATGCTTTTAATAGAACATGATCGTCTATGCAAGATGTGAGAACATTTATATGTTTATGCACAAGAGCTTTCATAAGAATACATAAGTATTTTATTGAAAAAATACAAACATTTATTTTTATATATGTGCTCATTTTATTGCAACATATTTATATTTTTCACGAGATACTCAGACATATTGTTTCAAGAAATACAAACTATTTCTTCATTATATGACCATTTCTTTTAAGATCTGTGAACAGTCTTTAATATTGTAAAATACGTTAACAATTTTTATATTTATATGAATATATTTTTTAAATACATAGACAGGTTTCTATCGGAAGACCCATGGAGGAACTCCGACTCCGAGGTGGACTTGGTCGAAGCAACAGAAAATGATATTTTGCGTCTCTGAGTTCAACTCCACTCGCACTCCTAATTAGATGCGCTAACAAAGCCTCTGCCTGTATATAATCTTTCCTCCTCCTCCCCTAATTCGAGAGCCAGGGTTCCGCAACCATCCACCAAATCTCGCGGCGTGGTCAGTGAGACGAGGCGCGGGAGATCTGATCAGCCGATCAATGGCCGGTGAGGAGCCTTCGCGCATCACCGGAAGCATGTCGACTGGGGGCGAGAGGGCGGCCAAGCATGCGGTGGCCGCCGGCGACCTGCGCCCTCTGAAGCGATGCCGACATGCTTCGACGGAGAAGCGCGCGCTGAAGCCGTGCGCCACCAAAAGGAAGGCGGCGGCGGCAGGCGACGAGAGGCTGCGCACCGCCAAAAGGAAGGCGCCGGCGATTGCAGGAGGCTGGCTACGTGAAGTATGCTCCGGGGAAAAAAATGACGCGGCTGCCGCAGGAGGATGTCGCTCGGATTCTCGGCCGTGTGATCGATGATGACCAGAACGCCCCTTCTGACTTCAAGGCCCTCAAGCTCCAAAACCCTGAACTGCTTCCTTCGCCGGAGGAGGAGCTGGACGAGGAGATGGTGGAATATTATGCCGGCGTGCGTGCCTACTATAAAATCGGAGAGGACTACCTCAAATTCCAGGCATGGGTGCGCAGTGAGTACGCCAAGAACGGCTACGTCGAGGTCGATGACGACTTCCTCGCTAAGAGGGCCAGAGTCCGAGCAGACAGCGACGGAGCACGGGAGGAGATGCTCAACACGATCGACTTCTCGGACGACGACGAAGATCTGAAGAGACTTCTTACGACCAGATGGTACTGAATCCATATCATCTGTCATGAACAATCTGCCGTCTTGCTTTTAAGTTTAGCGATGCGTGAATTAACTGTGATCCACCGATATTTACTTTGATCCATGTCAAACTGTGCTAAGCTAAGCACTGATGATGAACGCCTTGTATAATGATCCACTGTGTTATATCGATCGATCAGTTTACCATGAGGATGCAGTTCTGTTCTTGTGTTTGCAGTTTTAAGGCTTGCACGACAATACAGTAGATGTTGCTGCGAATTATCACTAGCATGGGTAGATTAATCAGTTGTAGTGCCTTGACGAGATCAATTCACCGAGATACTGGCAGTGGTAGTGAGAAGTACAGTATTTGGATACTCTGCTGTCTGCTCAGCACCCCTATAAAAAATTCAGAACCCATCAACTAAAACAAGACCAGAACATTTCACAAACTCTCAAGCAATGGAGTGGAGGTAGTTATTTGGGTAAACAGCGGAGAATTTGCGGGGACGCAAGCAGGGGAAGAAGTGGTTCTGTAGTTAGTTGTCTGATTCAGAGGAAGCCAGCGTTTTATACTGACGCTGCTCGCGCACACACCGGCTCATGGGCCAACGCAACGTGCAATGGCCACACCTTACAACGGCCCACCACCTAATCAACTGGTTAGCCCGACACCTTGTTAAAAGAGAAGGACAGAGCAGCGAGCCAGTGACAGAGATGACAAATGAACCAACAGTCTTTGATTTCATCAACAGACATGCTATATAACTATATATGCGTGCTGTGTGGAGTGTGGCATTTCCGGTATTTCGTCCTGAAATTTACACACTTGTGCGCATTGTGTCTCTAATTTTTTTTTTTTGAAAGAAGGATATACCTGGGTCTCTGTAGCCATTTTATTAATTATTCACAAAGATCATACAAAGTAATACTATCTATGTTCTGGTTTATTGGTCCCTTTTATAATTTGTGTCAAATTTTGACCAAATATTGAACGTACAAAATGTTAATGCATTTCAACAAAAAAAATCGTTGGATTTGTATTAGAACATAGTTTATAATGATATAATTTTTTATGACATGTATAAACATTTTGTTAGTTGAATCTATGGTCAAAATTTGGCACAAAATAACAATAGGGACCTATAAACTAGAACGAATGTAGTACATCAGTAAGTTTGAAACCACCATTCAAACAACACTTGTTGCTACTCCTATCCCCTTGATGAATGTGTGCCGACTATCCGAGCGCAATACCAAACAGATATTGCATCAAAGCCTAACATTTAAAACCGGATTCCCCAACCCAGCCACATACCGGGACTGGGTCACACACAGAAGCTGTCACCGCCATCTTTCATCGGTCCATCTCTAGAGCAGGAACTGATGCGTCGACCTTGTCTGCCCTGCCGTCGACGCCACCACGGCTTCAGACACTCCACCATCCTGCATGTATCTGTCCAACGCGCCCGTCGCCAAACCTCCGCAACGCCATGCCGCCGGGATCCGGCGCCGACCTCTCGCAACTGGGTGGAGCCGAATGGAGCCTCGCCATGGAGACGAGGGCCGCCGTCGGCACACCGGCAGGGAGCCTCCAGCCGCCCCTCACCGGTCCTCCTCGCGCCACCGGCTGGCCAAGGCCATACCGTGACGGATCTGGTCAGGACGCCAGTCCGCAGCCATCGATGCCACCCATTTGCATGCAGCTGCCACCCTCGCTGAATGGAGAACCGCCACCACCCAATCTCAGGTCACTGATGGCCATGGAGGCTTCAATCGCCGCCGTGCAGTAGGGGCGCCACCCTGACTGCCGGCGCCGGCCTGCCCGCATGAAACGCCTCCTCCGCCTCACAAGGAATATTGCGACACCCACCCGCGCTGGATCAGAGTTGGGCCCGCTGCCACCGCGGCCCTTGCCGGCGGCAACGCCGGCTGGGGATGGAACGAGGGGAGTCTAGCGGCTAGGGTTCAGGGCACCCCCGGCGTCACCCAAGGGGAGGCGACACGAGGGGTCGAGGGCACTATTTTCTATTTCTCTTCCAATCTCAAAAAGTGGGGAGAATTTCACTTCTTCGGTCTCTGCACCAACTAAGGATGCATACAACTATTAAGCATGAGTATCAGGATTTTTATGTTGGTTAATAACCAAGTCTGGTCCTCTAGATAAACCAGATGAGTATCAGGAAAGGATGATCCTCAAGAATAAATAGAAACATAAATTCGTCTCCGTGAGGATTTGAACTCGCGTGTTAGGTTTGTACATCCACTCTTTCAAGGTTGAGCTAGGCTCACTCCCTAAGTATATGTGTCTACTTTTTCTATATAATTTTTTGAAACATGTAAATTCGAATTTTTATCATTTGAAATTCAGCCTCCATAGTGGCCGAGCTCCACTGAGCGTTTCCGTCGTGAGGGGATGCCTCCAAGAGATGGCAATTACAAGTTTAAGAGATGGTGAAGTATGTTGAAGGCTAACATGTGGCACACTTGCGCAAATGGAGGGTGAAAAGGAGATTGAAAAATAATTGAGTTCTTCCCTCAAAAAAAAAATGAGTTCGTGCTGATCGGTGGAACGGCGGGAGTCACGCCCAGAACCACATAGGGCTACGCTTGTGTGAGCTGCCTGCCATCTAGGAGTAGTAGAGCCACGCGGCGTGCAGCTAATCGCCTCTTCCCCACCAACCGCTTCCGTCCCCGGCGGGCGGCGCTGGAATCGGATGGGATACTGGCGGCCAGTGACGAAGACGAACCCAAGCGCGCACCAGACCGGCGTATTAGTAGTACAAGACGCCGGCCGAGCCGCTCTCGGAGTCCAATCGCACACTCCCATACGGTCCTATCCGCACCCAATCGCGACACGTACGACGTCGGATTAGACGACACCCGCACGCGGATACAAATCTGAAATCCCTTCCATGATGCCGTGCGCCAGCCAATGTCATGGACTGCTTTCGAAGCTCCGAGTGAGCGGCGCAGCTTCTGGTCGAGTCGATCGAACCGGCGCAGCGGTCGTGCGTGCGTGCGTGCGTGCCGTATCAAGCATCTACACCGGGACCTTTCAAACACATCTTAAACGCTTGGCAGGCCATCCGATCACTAATTGATCATAAAAAAATGACCCACTCAAACTCTCAAACAGGGGACAAACGTCCGGACTAACCGGCACCTCTTATATCCAGCTCAAATGTATGGCGGGTATGAGGTGTCCCGGGCGTCCGTCACATCCGCCTGGCCCACCCCGACTCCATAAAAACCTCCTTCGAAGCAAACGACTCACTTCACTCCGCTCCGCTTCCCAACGCTTTCCGACGACCATGTCCAGCACCAGCAGTCACTCGAACGGCAGCTCCAGAGACGAGGACGAGCTGGTGCTCCGTATCGCGCTCGACCGCTTGCGGGTCGATACGGGTGGCAGCTCCGGGTCAGGTGCAACGCCACCTGTCGCCCGCCGCCGTCGCATGATGCTGGTGCCCGACGAGGAGGAGCGTCTCCTCCAATGAGTGTACGTCGGTCACTTAACACGGCGGATACGGACGCCCGGCGGCTCCGGACGATCAACACCAAGCAGCTCCGGCTCGGCATTGAGCAGTCTGAGTGGGAGCGGCGGAGGCGGCAAGGGTGGCCAAACTCAAGCGCAAGCAGGACCGCATCGTCCGGCGCTTGCAACGCTACATCATCATCTTCGAGTCCTCCTCCTCCGACGGTTTCGACTTTGACGGCTTCGACGTCGACCCACCTCCTACCGCGGACACCTATAGCAGCATCGGTGACTGGAGGGTAAAGGGACAGCGAGGAAGTGGTGAAGCTCGATCCTCTCTCCTTTTATATAATCTAACTCTAGTATCTAGTTAGAATGTGTTGAATCACTGAACCGTGTGAATTATGCCCTTTCTGTGATCTTTTAGTGATTTATGTGAATTATAGCCGTATGGTATCGGTTTATGTGTCTGTTTCCTATTGATTTTGGTCGTTTGGTGATGTACGCACTATGTTGCATGATTTTGTACTAATATAGGCTGCTGGATATGAGATACTCTCTCCGTTCGAAAAAGTGTGTCCCTTAAATAGATATATCTAGTATTAAGTTAGTGCGAGATACATCAATTTAAAAGATAAATTTAGGATAAGCTTTTTCAGAAGGAGGGAGTACACGGTTGTGACGCGCGGTCATGCCAAACACCTGTGCGAGAGCAGGACGCGCTACGCATACGCATCGATCATCATGGTAATGGTAGACAGGCCATGCATACATGCTACTCTCAAGTCTGGTGTGTGGAGGACGAGGAAAATGATGCGAGACACGTCGGCCCATGTGATGTGTTAATTTGGCAGCCGAAGCAGAGTATCAAGTCTGGTAGTCCATCCAGCATCACCCTCTCATGGGCGGTTCGGCAACGGCTCTGCCAGATTTGCCTCCGGCATTGTAGTAGTAGCACACTCGGTGGATCTGATGGCTGGAGCCACACAGCGGATCGATCGGCTTGGCAGGCGAGTTACTCGTACTACTCTGTTCTGGTAAAACGATGATCTCTCTGCCACTATGTATCTCTCGATGCAGACAAGCCTCGCACCACAGTTTGAGCAGGATCTTTGCTTTTTTTTTTTGCGAGAACACTTGTATTACTCAAATAATAATGTCATTACAATCATCAAGGGAAATACCCAAGACTTCGTCTGGACCAGATCCAAGCCAAGTCATAGTTCGCCCCTCAACACGAGTAAATCTAGCCAAACTATCACTAGCTTTATTCTGATCTCTCACAACATGAGTAACACAAGTTTGCCTAAGACGCGTGAGAAGTCTTATTTCATTCACCAAAGCAGCATAAATTGATCGATCGACTTCAGCAGATGTGACCATGGCCACTGCCAAGCTTGAGTCCGTCTCGATAGCAACGGCCAGTTCGGATCTTTGTAACGCCAGAGATAAACCTTCCATGATTGATGCAAGTACTCCCTTCATCCCAAAAATTTTGTCTTAGATTTGTCTATAGACGGATCTATCTATTCACATCTTAATGTTAGATACA